CCCATTGTAGTATGTCTTTGTCAAGATTCGAATTTAAGATCACTTATCGACCAAGAAAATAATAAGATTTGTCAGATGCACTCTCTAGACGATCTTACCTTGCACCAAAGAAAAGACATGTTGCTTTTCATCAACAATGAATAATTCTCTTGAAGCTAGAGCATCTTCATCTTTGAGTAAGGAAATCAACACTAACTATTGATTCAACTTTTATTAAGCAAGTTTAGCCAAGTATGTCTTCTGATCCTCTTATTTGTGATATTAAAGAAAATCCTTCAAAGTCTCATAATACTTCTAAGTTTGAATTTAAGAAGAATCTATTATATTATGAGGGACGCCTACATATTCCAGAAGGTGAAGCTTGATTACGTGTTTTTTAAAGCTCGTCATGACTTTCCAGCAGTAGGACATTTTGGGTACAATAAAACTTTGGAACTGATATCCAAGGACTTTTGGTGGCCACAAATGTGGAAAGCAGTCAAAGATTTTGTACAATCTTGTGATGTTTGTTCAAGATCAAAAACTCCTCGTCATCGACCTTTTGGACTTCTTCAGCCATTATCCATTCCAAAACAACCATGGTCTTCTATTTCTATGGATTTCATCATAGATCTTTCAATTTCAGGTTCTTATGACTCCATATTCATGATAGTAGATCGTTTTACCAAGATGGCACATTTTGTACCATGTACAAAATCTATCATAGGTGAAGAAATAGCTAAGCTCTTTTTTGACAATATCTATCGCTATCATGGATTACCCAACGATATTATATTAGATAGGAGAACTCAATTTGTATGAAGATTTTAGCGGACTCTTTTTAAGATTCGAAAAGTAGATATAAAATTATCTTCGACATTCCATCCTCAAACTGATAGACAAACGGAGCATGTTAATCAAGTTTTAGAGCAATATTTAAGATGTACCATCAACTACCAACAAGATGATTGGATAACTCTTTTACCATTGGCACAGTTTGCTTATAATAATACAGTACATTCTTCTACAAAACAAACACCTTTCTTTGCTAATTATGGTTATCATCTACGACTTGATACTTTTGATTTTTTAAAAGTTGACAATCTTGCTGCGAAAGGTTTGGAAATTCATTTGTCAGAGCTACATGCAATGATAAAGGCGTAGTTAAAAGAAGCTCAAAAACAACAAAAGGTCAATGCGGATGTCTATCGAAAGGAACAACCACCATTCCACATGGGTGATAAGGTATGGTTACTTCATCACAATATCAAGACCACTCATCCTTGTGACAAGTTGTGACACTATCAATGGCTTGGACCATTTTCTATTTTTGCACAAATCAATCCAATTGCATATCGTTTACATCTATCAGAGTCAATAAAAATCCATCAAGTATTCCACGTGTCTCTTCTTGAACTATACAAGACAGTGGATATACTAAGAAGAAGATAAGCTCCACCTCCTCCTATAGAAGTGGAAAATAATAAAGAGTTTGAAGTAGAAGAAGTCTTAGATTCAAGGCGGCACCAAAATAAATTGGAATATCTTATCCATTGGCATGAATATGATTTTAGTGAATGCACATGGGAGCTAGTAAAAAATCTTACAAATGCAGTAAAAGTGGTGGAGGCTTTTTATCGATGACATCCATCAAAATCAAGATGAAAACCTTCTTTACAAAAGAAATAAGATCTAGGTAAGGTAACATTCTACTTTCAATCCTTGTTTATAGCTTCTTTGTAGGTGTGATGCTCAAGAGATGAATAACCAACAACCAACGGATTCAACTCAAGAGCCTTCGTTTGCTGACCTACCGGACGAGACATTATGATTGTCACAACCTTCAAGACGATGCAATCAAGATGAAGATCTTCAAGAATGACATGTTCTTCCTCAAATAGATGGCAAAATATAACACGTTTGGTATCACGACCTTGGAAGGGACTCCCGATGTTTGGTGATTTTAGTAGAGGTAGGAACAACTCTTGATGGTGTTTCAAATGTTTTATTTGAAGGAAGTTATGAAGGCCTCAACAATGATCAAATAATTGGGTGGTCTTCCCGCCTTAATATGGGATACTACTAATGGTTGAGAGGCCCTATCAATCATCTTCGAAGAGAATAAAGATCAAAGTATGTGGCGAATACAATTTGTCGCATCATAGATTTCCTCAACATATGATGACCGCTCCTCGTGGAACTCGTCCCTAAAGGGAGGGAGGGGGGTAATGTCATGGACATATACATGTAAGCCAATAATTACATGTATAAATAGGTAGAAGTAAGTAAAAGTAGATAAAAGTAAGTTAATTCTATAGTATTTGGTATGAAAGCTTTCTAGAAGCTTCATAGACACTGCTTTGACTTTATAGGTGTCTTTAATTGACTTTTTGGATTAGAAACGTGGTCAACAAGTTGGCCATGTGCCACATATGTTATTAGCTTGAAGACCAAGCTAACTATGTGGCCTACACATAGAAAAACTTGCCTTGTAAGTCAAGGCATGTGTTCTACAAAGTCAACACATATTGGAGGTCCTATAGAATGTCGCCACGTAGCCCCTAGTTAGATAATATATATAGAGACAAGAGTAAAGCCTTCTTCACTCTTGTCAACTCTTTTCTTACTTCCAGTCTAGTTTCAAGGGTCTCTAATTTTCTTGGCTTTTGGCAATAACCATTCCAGTTTCTTTCTTAATATACATATGAAATTATTTCTATTTTGTCATCTTTCTTTGAGAGAAGTCTCACTTGTTTATTTGTTTTTATCATGTTCTTATTCTTGACATGAAGCTCATGAAAATCTATAATAGTTGCAAATCTATTCATACTTCCATTAAGTGTAGAATTCATAGTTTTTTTTTTTTCTGTATCTACAATAGAAAATTTCAACATATTCATAAATTAAATTAAAAAAAGATAATTTACAACCTCTAATATTAAATAAAAATTTCTATAAAAATATAGTCTATTTTTTTTTAAAAAATTAATATTAAAAAATAAAAAATATTAATTTCAATGTGGAGGATCTATAATCTTTAAAGTATAATAATAAAAAGTAGAATAATTCATTCACTTTAAAATAAAAAATAGAATAAATTATAATTCTTTTTAAATTGTTAAAGATATGAATTATAAAAATAAAAATAAAAAAATCTAAAAATAAAAAAATCTAAAAATAAAAATATATTCTTATATCATCAAAAAAAATAATAATCAATTAAAAAGTGGCCATAGAATTAAAACTATAATAAAAAATTTAAATAAAATATATTAAAAAGTCTTTAATCAAGATAGAATTGAAATTCTACTTATCTAAATAAACATACTGGTTAATATGGCTATGCATGATATCTATATCATTGATAATTTTTATATAAGATAATTTTTAAAGATGATATAAGTAACAAAGAAATTAAATAGGAATACATCTTTGTTAAAATTAATTTTAAATAGACATTCAAGCTTCATAAAATTATGAATTAAATTAATAAATTTATTTATTTTAACTATATTTAATTTTAAATTTTATTTTAGCTTAATATAATAATAATTTATATAATAATATTATTTAAAATAGTATATAATATAATTTCTATTGATATGATTTATGAATATATTAAAGATATATTATTATCTTTATTTAGATATTAGATAAAAAATTTATTATTATTATTATTATTATTATTATTATTATATTTATATTTTTTTATTATACATAGATTCATTCTAAAAATGCATATATAATTATATATATACATATATATATATATATATATATATATATATATATATATTTAAAGTATATAAATGATTCAATTTATTTTAAAAAAATAATGTAGAATATAAAAATTGCTAGATTTTTTTAATTCTAACTTAAACAAACAAAAGAGTCAATATTTTGAGTGATTATTTTAATTTCACAAAAATAAATTAAATATTTTATGAACGAAAATCATATTTAGGTCAATAACAAATAAAAAGGAATAAAGGAATAAAAAGAAAAAAATGAAATTAATCTGGTTTAAATATCTAAATAAGTATTTGATAAAAATCACGTATTTGAATTAATTGGTATTCTATTTATTTTATTATATAGAAATAATTTATACAAAATATTCAAGAATATATTTTTTACAGTATCCAAATATTTGGTTATTTGTTTTTATTACACATCACCTCAAATTTTATTAAATCTTCCCTGTTATCTTCTACAAAATTTGACACTTTGGATAAAAAGATCTTTAAGAGCTATTTAGAAATTCAACATCCAAATGAAGTATAATCTGTAAATACCATTATTTATAAGAATCTTTGGCCATTCGGCATAAAATGTTTTGAAGTACCATACAAGCATCCAAAAAAGTCCAGTTACATTTTCTCACTTTTTCTTGGTCTTTTTCCAAATATTTAATTAGATTGTGAATAGAATTTTGCACAAGGTGGGTCAACTGGGCTTCGTGAAAATTGATTGCTTTCAACAGAGCAATCTATCCCGATTGCGAAGACACTGAACCTTTGCTAAAAAATTAGATCAAATGTTGTAAGCAAGGAGAAAAAAATTAGTAGAGATTGACGTGAGGAGTTTGTGGAGGTTTCAATTATTCTAGCCTTGTAAGATAGACTGTCACTGCAGGTGCATGATACTCTCCGAGGAGAGGATACACCATCCTCATTCCTAAAACTCGGTTCTGACGTAGAAACACTTATTTAGATACCCACAGATGAGTTAAGTGGCCTAAACATTACAGCAGAGGGGAAATATGTGTTAATTCACAGATGCATTTTCGCAGCTCATTGTTCGGGTTTACAGAAGTTTGCAGGGATAGAACGGAACGGGAAACCGGAGTTGGAACTGAAACTAAACACTATAATTGATAAAGGAATTTCGTGAAACCGCTCTGAGAAAGTTCAATTTATTGAGCGATCTGCATGAAACCATACAGGTGAGAAGGAACTGCAACAGTGCTTCATCTGCAAGCAATTTCGTCACACAAAGTAGGAGTTGTTGGACGCATGTGATATTATAAATGTGATGTATCATTCATGATATTAACCTTCAAGTCCTCTGGGTCTTGATGCCTGTGGATCAACAACCTGGTCTTCCTCTCTGCCACCAAACATGCCAACAATTTCATTTGTGAAATCTCTCCTAAATGATTTGTTGGATAATGCTGTGTATACAGCTTCCGCTTTTCTGAAATCTCACTGCTCACCTGACAAAGCAAATTGAACATCCTGGTATGAACGAAGATCGCACCTCAGTGACATGATTTTATTTTATGCAGTTTGAATCCATTGAAAGTAGCTAAAGTTGAGTTTGTGTCAGCTATATTGCCAGCTTCATTCAGAACGAATCGACCATGGTAAGCTTGATCTGGATGTACAAATCCATCGACATTTATCTTCGAAATTGCACGTTGATTTAACCCCATTTCCTGATGAACTTGCTGTTGCACCAAAATCCTTCCTCCAACGCCTGCCAGTAGCAAGCGCTCACACCGTTGCAGTTGCAAGGAGGATCTCGAGTGGTGAACCCCTTGAACACATCGATGGTGGTGGAAGGCTTGCCTGGCGAGTCGAAAGTGCAAGTCCACACATCATTCCCAAAGACGCTCTGGGTGAAAGTCCACGAAAAACTGTTGAAGGGCATCTCGGAGAGATGACCGAAGTCTTTGCCATCCTTGGAACGGCAATGAAAGTCCAGCCTCTGACCACGAGTCACCAATTCGTTTTCGATAGTCACCTTCACCCCTTCAACAACTCTTGTCCCTGATGTCATAAGTATTTGCACCAGCACTACTATCAAAATGCAGCTGGAGCACGTCTTAGAAGCCATGGAGGATGCCTTACTGCCGTTCATAATCCTCCTGAATGACATCATACAACAACCACATTTAGATTACTGTGTCCACGATGAAATTCGAAGTTGGTCCAAAGAAAATGAAGGGATTGGAGCTGAGTAATAAGCACTTTTCCTAGCGAAGCAAACTATGCATAATTCTAAGCTAAGTGGCACAAAAAGCACAAGACAAGAAGACAACGAACAGCCCATTTCTACCAAGGACTTGCAGTGACTCTCGAAGTGTGCAGATGATAGTGATTAAGTAGCAGTGTGAGCACTAGATTTAGAAAATTTTCTTTTAACAGCCGGAGTACAAGAGCTCCCTTTCCATCAAGTCGTTTTCTATCGTTACTAACTGATCATGAGAAATATTGATTGCAGATAACTCGGTGATCATTTTTGCGCTACTTTGCACGTGATCATATTCTCTGATACAGTAACCTCAACAAGTGAACCAAGCATGTATTAAATTCCCCGTAATTAATCTAGATAGGTTCCGAAACCTAAAAGACAATAAATTTACATTCACTAAAGTTTGAAAATTCTTCCCAAGGGCGCCTTTCTTCTGTCAGAAACACGCAACCAGCCTGAGCCGAGTCGTGAATGATGTGAAAGCAGTATGAGTCGATGAGATCTTCAGATCCAATGCTGAGTCCGTTTTTTTATTTGCAAGGTCCAGTGTGAATTTAATTCTGAGTTTATCCTTAAAACGTCTAGAAAGCTCTATCAAGTCTTTCTGGAAAAGTAAAGTTTTTACTAAGATTTTGATTTGACCGATCTCAATGACGCTTTTTCCAATGCTTCAAAAGAAAGCTACTTCTCTCCTGAATAAAAAGCACTAATTCAAGTGTCAATGCTTTGTGATATATACTGTTGCAAATATATGCTTTTATTTGATTTGGGGAATTACTGAAGTATGATCAGGCCACTCAAATCATCTGAAGGATTACTTACTTTTGAATATTTCAAACTTACACTGGTGCCCAATGTGAGACATATCTTCCTGCACTATTTTTGGAAACTTGTCCACAGTAACATAAAAGGATCCAGACAGTAAGGCTGCGTTTTCTTGTTAGATCATAACAAATTAGATCCTAACAACTTGGGCATCCCAAATCATCACAAATCAACATTACTGTGTCGAGTAGCCTGTCAAGTCAGACGTTGAATTCAGATCCTTTTCAATGAGCATGTACAGAGCATACAGTGGAGGTCAAGTTGGAGCAAGTTACTCATTCGGTGCGGAGGTAATAGAATTGGATATTCTTCACAGTGTGATCGAAGTCACAGATTTTATCTGAACGGAACATCGTGCATTTCCGTGTCAATGTAGTTCTCATGTCTCGCAACTCTGGCGGTTTTGATGACTTATGCCAAATGACGGTGTGTGGGACTTTACAGTGATCTGATTTAAGCCTTTGAAAACAATGCTTGCCTGTGGGTGTGACTTGTATGGTTTCTAGTTGCGGTTGCAGACCTTGCTAATATCATAACTGATCCAAGAGCATCTTAACTGCAACTTGTCTAACACATTAAGGTCTGAGCACAGAAGTAAATATTTATCAAGATTCTATCTATTGGGTACCCGTCATTCTCTAAAAAATATCTCACTTCGCCAAAGAGGAATGAGTTTCCAGGAATAGGGAAGGTCTAGCATGATTCTTTGGAATAAAACAAGATGACGCCACTGTAATTAGACGCTGGGATCCACTCTTCATTATTCTGCAGTACTGCTCGGAACGAATCCAGTAATTCATTGATTTCTGTAATTTGGATGTTGATAAATGGCGGGACAATGATGTGTTGAATGCGTCTCGTAAGCTTTTAAAAAGAAAGTCAAGCTGTGCCTTTCAAGATTTTACCGTCCATCTCAGATCCACTGTCACACTTCTCATTGAAAGACGCTGGAACTACATCTTCACCACTAGATTAGCAGCGCTTCAACCTTAGCGAACAAGCTTGAAGACCAGTTTGATAGTTCGAAGTACAGAACACAAAAACGTCAGCATTGTTCGCCGATCTATAAAGTGAAGTTGCTAGAGAACTAAAAGTGATCCTGATCGTTCCAGGCAGATATGTTCCAATTTCTAGGCACCCAACAAATGATCATGAAGAAAAACATGTGTACAGGAACAAAATGAATGCCCCAATAGTAGGTTTGAGATCAGGTGATCATTTGTGCTGTTCTCACAAGCATAAAGCTTACCTGTCATATCCAACGAAAGTCCTTTATAAAAGGATGAAGAAATGAGAGTCGGGACAAGGACATTTACTGAACGTAGTGCTTGGGACAGACTCTGGCAACACGCAAGGACTGGATATACTGATAAGGGCAATGACTTTGCCGGAGCCTTGAGTCCACGTTTAGATGCCAGCAAAGATACCCATTGTCAGTCAATCAAAGAAAAGTAATTTCGAAAATTATTCCTGGAACAAAGCCCATCACGACAATGAATTACCTTGCGCTCGGTTGGGGTCATAGTTTGTCAATGCCATGTATTAGGTGGCAGACGACATGGTGAGGGCCTTGTTGTAAAGCTTCTGCAGAAATCCAGACTGCAAAAATCAAACAAGATGGACGCGGAAAAAAACGTAAATAAAAAATAAATGAAAATAAAAAATGATCATTCGCAAGATACTGGTTGTGCTGTTCTATTTCACATGAATGAGTAAGGGCCCAGGTAAGAATCTCATAAGATGGAGTAAGAATGCGGTCCCTGCAGATTATCAATATCTTGGAGCTCGAAACTAGGTGCATTCTCAAAATCATCACAAAGGTAGAGCAAAGATCACTGAAACTTAAGTTCAATGTCACAGGACCAAGTACGTAAATGAATCAAGCCTTGATAATATGATACCTCTGCAGAGGGAGTAAACGTGTCTCACCTCCCAAGAGAAGCTCCCATCGATGCTGGACACCATCCATGTTCCAACTACATTCAGATTGTTTTAACCCTGGAAACGTCGGCAGAGTAGAATGTTGGACACAACTACCCTGCACACTTTTATTCAAAAGAAAATTAGCATGCAGGTCCTCATTTAGAAATAAACATTTGCGACGAAACAGGGCTAAAAGTGCTAAGTCAAGCGTTTACGAACTGAATTTGATTTCCAACGCGTACTTTGTACGAATGTATATAATACAACTGTTCCAAGTGACAAAATAGTCACAAACAGATTCCGTACTATAGCTGGTGACTCCACAACTAAGAATACCCCGCGAATTTTCTTAATCACGAAGCAGCATTCTCTGTGCTGTACCAACAACAAGAATCTACTATCATACAAGGACTAAACTATAATGTTCCCTCACGCCAGAACTGTTCCCAAGGCAAGCTGAGCTACTCTACACATGTACATTGTGCAAATACTTATTCTTCTGGTCAGTGAGATGACCAGCTCATCGAATAATCGATGACAGATTCTGATCTCTTAGTTTACACGACGATAACTATCCACAAATGCAACGCTACTTTAAGGTGGCTGGTTGTAGGAACAAAAACGAGCGGCTTCTAGTTGACTTAAAATCATACAATGCCTGAATGGGGAGCGAACCCTTGCATTCCCATACTTGAATTCGACCTTGAGTGCAACGTCCGTGATTCACTACAAGAACCTTCGAAAGAGAGACACGAATAGCCCCTCAACCCCTTCACATCTACTACCACATCGTCAAGGAATGTCGTGAAATTTCTGTCTTCCTTGACATCAAGGCATCTGCTTCCCTCCTTCACAACCCGCTCACAACACCCAGGGAGTTGGTTGTCTCTCCGGCTACCACATTCTGTACTCCGCGAGATTTCAGCACAGCTTCGTAACCGAAGTTGCAGTCCGTCGTGGTCAATCAAAGATGAAGATGAATCATGGCTCTTGGGTGAAGCAGCTAGTGCCAATGAGGCAGAAGATTTCTGAAAGTTAGGTGAATTGGTGAAGGCTTCTTTTGGCTTCGTGAATCCCTTGTCAAAGTTTTCAGTGAAAGCAATGTCAGACATACTTGGGTTCTGAACTATCACCAACATTGGCCTATGTGTGCTTGCATTTTCCGAGATTGAGGTGGGCTGCAAAATGCAATAAGAATTGTCAGACAATTCTAAAATGATAACCATTTCATAGCCATCATATCCTAATCGTGATCATCCTTAACATCCCTGACCAAAATTCAACAAATAAAATTAAAATGAGTGAGCATCCCTGTCGAGTAGAATACGGAAAAGTAACGAACCACTCCAATGTGCCACTCTTTGTGATCCAAATTGTTGAACTGCTTTTCATTAATCTCCTGCGAAAGTACGACAATGATTTCAGACTATTGTGCACTTTCCACTACACTTGAAGGGTTCAAATATGTTCATGAAATCAAAATAGTTTCAAATCTACGATAAAGTAGGACTACGAGTGCTTTACCACACTGTAAATGGGTGGCAAGATCCGTTGACCAGAGAGATGAATAGTTGGAGCGACTGAGAAGTATAGAGTTGGCTCTTTTGATCTACAGGTCCATCTGCAGACAGAGGTTTACAAAGGGAAAACGAACGTGAATATAACTTTTGCATCTGTTGATATCATTCAATGAATTAGAGGAAAGAGAACAACACAAAATGAACAGGCAGGAAAGGCGGAAAAATTCTAGTTCATACAGAGTATCATTGAAACGTTAAGTTGAGCATCTGGCATACTTAGTGCTAGTGTAAACTGCAGTACGAATCTCTCTGCACAACAATGGCTATTCGATCAAATAGTACCGATCAGAAAACCATATATCATTGAGGTGGGTACTAACCCAATGTACAAGAATATGGCAATCTCCGCACACTCTCGAGCAAGCAATCGCATCCAATACTCATTAACCATGCCATCCGCCCGTGCATGCATCTGCCCACGACAAGGTACATAAGCATCAAAGTCTCTATTCATTAATCGGTTATTATGTCGGCTGAACTCGCCCTCTACTATAGTGTCCATTTTAGCTCAGTGTTTAACATGATGAAAGCTTTATAAATCGAGCTCCTCACATCACTTCAGTTGTACGACTCTTTTCCAGTGCTGTTAATTACAGTTACAGATGTTACTGATTCTAGCTCTTCATACGTCATTCAGCTGAAAATTAAGAGCATCAAAGAATGTAAATTAAGCTTACCAAAATTTCAACAACAAACAACATCAGAATTCCACGCTGAAACCTCCTGCAACAGAAATAGAGGTAAGACAGATTGTACAGCCTGACAATCGAATTGTAAATCATAACTTCAGAAAAAAATGACGTGATAAATGTTCTCTGATAATGCATATTCGTCTATCGTTTCATTACTTACTTAAATATAATGTATTTAGTGTAAACAGCAGTGTGCATCATATGAACGCCTTCGACTTGGATCTGCTGTAGCTGCTCCCTGAGCACTGAAAGATTGCGCGCAATGTGTACCATTATGATGTAAAGGAGAAATCCATAAATTAACACCACCAAAACCTATAAAAGCACAGGACATAGTGGTCAACATTTCACCCTACTGCAGTTAGTCACATGAACCCAAGCGAATTGCAAAGCTACTGCGCGACTTTGCACCCTGGAAAAGCGTTTCGTCTTGGTTTACGTCTTCTCATTGCTGAGTAGGACAAACGTCAGGCTCACTGCTACTGCATCCACAGTAATATTTGTATTTTCAATCAAACAAAAAGCTCCAAGCTATGCAATAACATTGCATTCTACATGAAATCTAACCGAATTGCTCACAGAAATTGGATATTCCATAATTCCGCTAATCGCCATGAATTCAACATGATTGTCAAGATTGTGGTCCTCTTTTAAAACTATTTCTATTCAATTCCCAATGAACAATTGAAGATTCATAAACGACTTCAATTGGGGGAAATGGCTCACAGCGAACTGAGGAACAGCAGCCTTGTAACCGATAAGGGTCAAGTACAACAGCGAAGCCAGGCCGGCAATGCTGCGGCGTTCTGACACAGAGAGATTTTCGTGCATAATACAGTAGCCATGGGCAATCAAAAGGAAGGCAATTAAGCAAGCAGTCTCGAAGAAGATCCTTGATACGAAAACTCCAAATGCTACCCAGAATGAGCAGAAGCTTAAAGTGAGGCACGAATACCTACAGAAGATCACACAATTCCGGTAAGTACATGGATCATTGAACAACTATTGATCCAGGATCCGCCCGAATACCACGTGACCAAGAGACCTAGAACCAAAATCACTTTCACTTCTGCTCATTGACAAATCTCTACAGATTTTTAATGGAGTGAAAATTCAAAGATTAGAGTACACGCCCTAACAACACTTGGAAACTTAATTTCACTTCGTCCACACCAATTCAGGCATTCTAATAAGTGAGTAGGTGACTTTCCGATACAAATCAGAGTACAAATACATTGCTTTAAGGCATTCCAAAGTTGATGAAATCTGAAGCATGTAGCACTGAAGTTGGTGACCAAGGAATTTACCAAAATATGAAGGAAAGGCCGAGGACTAGTGACTTGAGCACTGGAACAACCGTTAACAGCCATTGCAAATTACTAATCTGCAATTCCAACAGTTCAGAATCTTGTCAGAAACTGCTTCAAACCTGGACAGCAAAATAGAATATCAAGTACTCGCAGCACCTAATCCCTTCGGAGTGATTTAGTATGTTCACAATAATTCGTAACGAGTAAACGAAGTCAACTGCAAGACAGCCTTGAACTGCACGTAGTCTAAGCATACCGTGTACAAATACCTTCGTTGTTACAATTTCTACCAATCTCCGAATAATTTTGTTTTATTACATATGAGCCGACGCTTTAAAAAAACAATATGATGAAAATTATATCAGCTTAGAAATTCGGCGTGTAGTCAGTGCAAATACCTGCCATTGCCGCTTGGTCCAAGTGTTAAAAGTCCACGCCAACACTAATACCATCCACACAATCAAAAGGCCAAAGAAGACGTAAGGCAATGGCCTGTACGAATCCTTCCACTCGCTGACATTTGTAATCGCGGGCTTCTGCACATAATCAATGGCGACGTCCATCGCTTACGAACTCTGATCGCTAAGCCACAAACCTCACCTCCCCAGCAGTGCAATAAGAAAAAGTTTGATTTTAAATAAATAAATAAAACTAATCTACACCCTCAAAAATGCGAACACGGCCAGTGATCCATGTCGCAAGGTTCCGCTAGACAATCAGAACCTGTGTCCCACACAATGAGATCATGTGAGGCAAAGCGATGCTGAGTTCAATCCCCCACAGAAGAAGCCGTTGTACTTTAACTGCAAAACTGTTCTGAAAGACTGACGATGGAGTTGGAGAGCCCTCACACTAGCTACACGCCACTCTGATGATCTCCGAGACTAGCCTCCGAAGCATTGGATTCCAATATATTCTGTCTTCGTTGACTATCACCTGAACAAACAGTTTCAACTACTTTCAAGACCCCCTCGGGCGTGGAGAAATGAAAAAGCACGAGACTCGTAGAACACCTCTTCTTTGCAAGACCACAAGTTCTGCAAAGGAAAGCACTGCACTCTCAGCAGCAATTTTGTCTACTGCTTCAACCTCAATGAGACAAACAAGCAATCCATGCAACCCGCAAGTCAAGCCGACGCCATCAATCGCGTGTGTCACACACCTACAAACAAGGCTCTCTCGAATTCGGACTTCCGTACCCACCCCACCCCCCTCCCGATTCTCGTACAACGCACTCGCTACCGATCCAGAAAACCGCGACAACAACTACAACAACGACGACAAAATTCACCAAAGGATCCCCGAATCCTTGAATTAATCCCAAACACGCAACCCTCCAAACGCCCCACTCATTACACCCACCTCTCAAAAAAATTCAGAGCACTTCAACGGGAAAAAGAAAACAAAAAGAAAAAAACACACATGAACCCACGGTTGCGGCCACCACTCAGCAGCGCACCATGAACCCAGCCCGCGAGAGGAAGTTGAACAGCAGCAACACAAAACGAGGAATCATAATAGTAAAAAATATTAATGAGATGGGAAACATAAAGTGAGATCCGACATAAAAGCTGCTTAGGGAGGGAGGGAGGAAGGGGGGGCTGTGTCAGGAACACGTTCACGAGGTGGGCGACAGCGGTGGTGGCGCTTTACTACTTCTAATGCTGCATCTGCACCATCATCCTCTTGTGCTGCTGTTGCAGCTCTCCATCCATATCCATACAAATATATCTGGTTTCCTGCCCTGGTACACTGCTGGGTCTATACGAGGAGCATCGATGTGTGGGCCAGTGGGTCTATCCCGACAGAGGCGAGATCCAGCGAAGAGAGCAAGTGAAGTTGACGCACGCTCATCGGCGCGTCGCTCCACCTCCAGCGCAGACTACTCCTGCTGCCACTGCAATGCCGAATGCAAATCGAATGATAATAACTCATGTTACTGTTGCTGTTTCTGCTTCTGCATCAGTGAGTGAGTGAGTGATTGAGTGGGTTTGTTTCGTTTGTGCATTGTTCGATAGACGGAAGCATGACAGATGCATCCATGCCATTCTATTCTATTCCCATTCCATTCCATACCCTCTATCGTTCTCGCGTGTCTGTGTGTGTGTGCCGCACGATGAATGGTGGCGGAACTTCCACCACTGCCGTGTCCAGTGTGGCCGTCCACTGGTCGATGGTTGGGTCGTTCGTTGGTCGCTGCGGGGGGTCAGCGTCGTCGTCAACTGAAGGCACATGGTCGTCCGCGGAGAGAACGACAGAATTTGTCCGCAAGACGACGCTCGTCGTCGTAAGATGACCGGTCTTGTTCTCGCCATCTTTTTACTCTTGTGATTGTGTCAGGATTAAATTATATGTTTGTATGCATATAGACGTAAAGAGAGAAGGATAACTTTTTTTGAATTGCAAGACATTGTGTTTGAATTTAAATTTGAATGAATAAATAATTACATTATGATTTCAATACATGTAAATGTACAATTATAATAATAATAGATGGGATTTTTGGATGTAATTTGAATTGAATTACTACATCATTCCTTTTTCTATAAACTTTTTCACATTTGAATTTGTTGTTTCAAATTCATTGATTTTTGAACTTCAATTTCATGTAGTTAAAAGAAAATAAATCAAATAATGGCTTTTGAAAAGAAGTCATTGATAATTTGATACCATAACAAACTTCAGTATCAAAAATTGAGGGATGTAATCTACTGCTTGAACATATTAATGTATCAAACATTTATATATGATTTGATTTCATATATATCTAGGTTTACGGATTCATTGGCCGAGGCTCAAATGCAGTAGTCGTGAGAATGGTCACAATGCAGGAACTGATGTACTTCGAAAGAGACAACGAGTGATCGAAGGAGACGACGATGTAGAAGAGGACGGTCGGTAGCATGATTCGTGCTCACGTCGAATCCTTGTTGGTGACTGTCTTTCGACACATACAATTAGTATCGGTTAAATGGACAAACCGAAGCTGAAATACGTCGCATCTTTCTTTTACACACAACCAAATGCAAAAGTTGTGAGCAGTTGTTTAAAACTACCACTTTTCATTAGAAAAAAGGAAAAAAAAAAAAAAAAAAGAATGTGCACTACATTTTCAAATGGGCTTTTTATTTTTTGTTTTAAAGAGGAGTTGACTTCAGGGTTCAAAACAAATCCTGTGACTCTACCCATTTGGATTTTCCCAATGAATTTTAGCATTAAGTGTTAAAATAAAATCATCTCACTTAGAAATCCACTTTGAAAGGCCATGGCACAAAAGTTTTAAATAGGTTTTTTCTTTACTGAAGAAAAGTCCTCTTTCAAAAGCCTTGTCTTTAAAATATATTATGAAGTAAGAAGAGGACATGAAATGGACCAAATCATTGTTGTATTACAAATCTAGAGATATTCGTTCACATCATCATTTTTAAAATTATGATATATATATATATATATATATATATATTAAAAAAATCTAACATTATTTATTGGTTTTTTTTATATAACCTCTTAATTTCAATCCAATAAAAATTGTGGAGAAAAATATTATATATAACATGTAGAAAAAAATAATTATTTTACTTCCTCCTTTCTTTTTGGAGCTTTTGGATTGAATTTTCTAAGTATAAAGTCAACTTAGTAAGGCCTCTCAATTTCAAATAATCAAATCCTTTGTTTTTTTTTAAGATTTTCTAGACTTCTTGTCTTTAGCAATAGCCATTTGAGTTTAATATTATACCATCTTTGAGTGATTTTTTAGCCTTTTTGAATGACATAAGAATTTATTATCTTTTTAATATTTTGAAATTCATATCCTTGATAGATGTCAAGGACAAGAACTCGATGAAAAAGCAATTCAAATAAGTGAGCCTTCACTCAAAGAAAGGTAACAAAATATAAATAAACAAGTATGTATATTGAAAGAGAAACTGGATTGGCTATTATCAAAAGACAAGAAAATTAGAGACCCTTGAAACTAGACTGGAAGCAAGAAAGGAGTTGACAAGAGTGAAGAAGGCTTCATTCTTGTCTCTATATATATTATCTAACTAGGGGCTACGTGGCGACATTCTATAGGACCTCCAATATGTGTTGACTTTGTAAGACACATGCCTTGACTTACAAGGCAAGTTTTTCTATGTGTGGGCCACATAATTAGCTTGGTCTTCAAGCTAACAACATGTGTGGCACATGGCCAACTTGTTGACCACGTTTCTAATCCAAAAAGTCAATTAAAGACACCTATGAAGTCAAAGCAATGTCTATGAAGCTTCTAGGAAGCTTTCATATCAAACACTATAGAATTAACTTACTTTTACCTACTTTTACTTACTTCTACCTATTTAGATCAGTAACGTAGATTTTTTTTAATAAACTATAGAATGGTCTGAATGGCGGTTATGCTTTTTCTTGAAGGTCAATTGAGCAATCATAGGGACGATGTTCTGGGAGTGTATTCACATTCTTTTTTTCAAATACATCTTGAAATTCTTGATACTGGCTTGGAATGCCACTTGAAGTCTTTCCACCAATAGAAATAGGTGTGGCATAAATAATATATGGTGATTCTTTCATAGCAACATGCAAGAAAGCTTTTACACCTATAATCAATTGAACTAAACTTATGACTCTCTATTTGATTAATTATATTGTTAGTTATACTTTTAGAAAAAGTAAGAGTTTGGAAAATCCAATCTATTTGAGGGTGGTATTTTTTTAACCACAATAAACCTAAAATGACTGGATTAGAAGGAGATCTAATGATATTAAATACTACAAAGCTATTATGACCATTGATTATTACTTCTATAGGAAGGGTTTCGTGAGTAATATCTCTAGAAGACAATGGACGACTATCTATGACTTTTACATGAACAGATTTAGTTTTCTTTACTAAAGATATGCTATATCTTTTAGTAAATTCTTCATCTGAGAAACACGCTAAGGCTCCTGAATCTAACAAGGCAGAGGCTTTATAATGTTTAGGTTCTAAAATAACATTTAATGTAAAAACAAGGAGAGGGCTCTGAGCAGAGAATAGAATCTTTACTAGATGTTGTGCAAGGTTCCAGCCGCATGGTCCCTGTTATAGCTGAACAAACTCGTTTTCTAACATATTGTCTTCTTTGACAGCCATACTCTTCATTTTGTGGTTACATCATTTCTTTGGACAATGTTAAGCAGTGTATTTTGGTTCTCCATAATGTAAACATAATCCTTCTTGATGACAACAACTCTTTTTTTGTTTGGTAAGAAGTTTGAAACGTATTGCATCAATTTGCATATCTTCTACTTTTGAATGTAGGTGTTTAAGAGGTGTTGGTGTTGCCATTGAATTATAGTAACGTTGAGGTGCACTTGTACGGTTTTCAGATCGAAATTTAAAAAGGTGATTGTCGTACTTCATAGCAAAGTCAATTCTTTGACTCAATGTTTGAGGATCAGGTAAGTTGAGCATTAATTTTTTTACCTCATATTGTAATCCGTAGAGAAATCGGCTAATAAGTGCAGCATCATCCCACTTGATATCAGTTACAAGTTGTCAAAATTGTGAAGCATACAACGTTATTGATCGATTACCTTGTCGTAAAATATAGATCTTGTTGGTTGCAACACAAATTACATCATGTTCTCTATACATGGATCGAAACTCTGCCAAAAAAGCCTCTAGAATATCCAATATTAGATCTCATCGTTCAAGAAAAGATGAAAATCATGATAATGCTGAACCTGAAAGAAGCGTACCAATGAATCTAACTTGTGATCCTAGAGTTGGATAGCTTTGGGATTAAAGTTCAATCACAAGTTGTACTTGATTGATAAATCCTCTAAACTTCGATCTAATGCCATCAAACTTCTCGGGTAAGGCAATTCTTGGTTCTTTAATACTGGAAGGGCATTCCACTATAGAAAAAAAGACATGATTTGGTATAAATGTTGAAGTACCTCCAATCATTTCTATATCTTCACTCCCTACCAATCTTGTTGCTCTTTGTGGTAGTAAATTGAGTTGATGCATCGCAAGTATTAAATCCCTCAATTGCTCTTGCATTTGTACTATTGCATTCTTCATTTTAACAAGTTCTGTCATGATAATACTTAGAAAAGAGAAGATGTCTAATATTGCTCATGACAAATAGAAGAGAGGACTTGAGAACAAAGAAAATACTAACGATAATATCAGTTTAGAAGAGGATAATCCACAACTTCTAATATGCTTATGTCTTATCAAGAAAAAAGGGTAATCCACTCTTAATCAAGATTAGATAAAACTCTGATATTGTAGGTGTATTCTTATGAATCTATCAAGGACAAGAATTCGATGAAAAGGCAATTCAGACAAATGAGCCTTCACTCAAAGAAAAGTAACAAAATATAAATAAACAAGTATGTATATTGAAAGAGAAACTGGATTGGCTATTGCCAAAAGACAAGAAAACTAGAGACCCTTGAAACTAGACTAGAAGCAAGAAAGGAGTTGACAAGAGTGAAGAAGGCTTCACTCTTGTCTCTATATATACTATCTAAGTAAGAGCTACATGGCGATGTTCTATAGGACCTACAATATGTATTGACTTTGTAGGACACATGCCTTGACTTACAAGGCAAGTTTTTCTATGTGTGGGCCACATAGTTAGCTTAGTCTTCAAGCTAATAACATGTGTGGTACATGGCCAACTTGTTGACCATGTTTCTAATCCAAAAAGTCAATTAAAGACACCTATGAAGTCAAAGCAGCATCTATGAAGCTTTTAGGAAGCTTTCATATCAAATACTATAGAATTTACTTACTTTTACTTACTTTTACTTTCTTCTACCTATTTATATATGTAATTATGAGTATGTCCGTTATAATAGATTGACAAGAGTCCTAACTTCTTCTTCTGATTTTACTTTAGAAATGAATGAATTATCCTACTTCTATTATTATATTTTGAAGGTTACAAACTATCCATCTTTAAACTAACTTTTAGTTTTCTAAACATTGATTGTTTTTCTTAAAGAGAGTGAACTACCCCTCTTTGTAGAAATTTTCACTTGATATTAGAGGTTGCAAATTATCCTCTTCTAATTTAACTTGTGAGTTTATTGAATTGTCTATGGAAGGAAAATTTGTAAATACCACTCACGATAGAAGTGAGAATAGTTTTACAACTATTACATATCTTCTCAAATTTTTCAACACTTTCAAGATTGAAATCTCACATATTTCTAACATATACTATGGAAGTACTATTTCTATGCCTATATAAGAAATCAACAACAAGGTTTTAATTTTATGCTAAAAAATTGTGCAATTGAGAAAAGCAAGTAGTTTAAGTTCAAAATTGAATACAAGAAGCCTTCTTTCTATAAATATTGAAGAGGCAAAGATAAGTATGCTAGAGAAGTTTAATGGAACGAGATCAAAGTATTGAAGATTTCTAAAAGTAAAGCTCTATCTAAGGTTGCATCCTTTCTAATACTTTGATGGATTTACTCAAGTTGGATTCATAGGTGGAATATTGAAACATATGAAATGTTCAAAGAAAATCACTACTACATAATAAAATCAAAATAAATGTATATATGGTTTTATAGATTAATTAATAAAAAATAAAAATAAATTGTACCTAAAAATAATGATACTAAAAACTCAAAATTTTACTTTTTTTAAAATATAATTTTATTATAATAATATTCATATTATTTTTCACATCTACAATGTTGTAACTAAAATAAATTTATTAACACATACTAACAATAAATAGTTATTCAGATTTTATAATTTTGATTCTTTTAAAATGTTAAAGTATATCAATTACTTCAAAAAAATAAATCTAAGAATGAAACTTTATAGAATATTTATTTATGATAATTTATTTATAAAGAAAGAAAATAAAAGAAAATAAATATGTATATATATTCTAAAACTTTATAGTCAATGAATGAATTTAGAAATTCTTATGGTAAGAATTGTAGTTTTGATGACGTTTATACTTTTAAATTATATGTACTCAAACTACTTATTTGTATGAATTTTAATACTTTAAGATATTTACATATTTCGAATGATCCATGTATTACTTTATTGTCTATTAGATTTTAACAAGCTTATTAAAGTCCAAGTATCTTGTTATTTTTTCACTTTATATTAACTCAAAATGTACAATAAGTAAGCATGTGACAAAATATATATATATATATATATATATATTATCTTAATTATTCTACTTATCATTAAATTCCAGTTAAATTTCCATTATATTTATTTTAATGATTTCCATGACTTGCTCAAAAACATATTAAAAAGAGTTATCTTAAACCTTTAAAAAATACAATTTAATGAGTACAAGATTACAATAAACAAGCACATAAATATGGCCCCAAGTGCAAAGAGGATATATTCATGTCTAACTCCCTGAAACTATCTAACTGTCTGACTATACCATTTACATGGATGAAAATGCCTTCATAAATCACACAGTTATTTAGATGGACATGTATTTTAGAAATTTGGGTACATCCCACAGTTTGACTTGGTGGCTTTGTGCGTACCTTTGATATGATTTTGCATGAAGCCTCATGTGCGGACATTAGACACCCACAAGTTTTTTGTTTACTTCAATAGATCTGAAAGTCATGTTCCCTGCTGTTGTGCACTCACTGGGAACTGTACCACAAAAATGTGCAAATACTCTGTTTCCATATCTGGGATTTTTACATCCTCATTTTCACTTATCTATTTGTTTTGTTTTGTTTTGTTTTTTTCCCTCAATATCTGTGTGTTGGATAACAAAATGTTGCTTAGCAAAACTAGCAAATAAGAACAAGAGCAATCCATTTGTACTGGTCCTTACTGTCCCTTCCATAACAACCAGATGTTGATCCATTCCCACAAAACTCCATGAAAATAATAACCAAACCCTAAGGCTTGGAGATGTGTTTTGGTAGTCCCCACATGAGCATTGAGTAAAAACCCCCTTTTGAGTTACACCCATGGACAGTTGTGTACCATTGTTTTGGTTAATCAATTCTTAACAGTTTATACTAACAACAGCAAAAACAAACAGTGATAAATTAATAAAATAAAATAAACAAGTCCCTTTTAGTATTGCAATTGAGTTCACAAGATTTCTAATTGTTTATTGCAGCAGGGAGACAGACAAGACAGAACCTCCCCCAAAACTAGGTTATGTGTAACTTTTCTGTATCATCTATTTCATGTATGTCAGGCAGCTCGTTTGATTCAATTTTGATGTGCCTGTGTGTGCCCATGTCCACCAGCATTAATTGGGAATTTGATCACCGAGGTTGGGCCACAGTCAAGCAGCACTAGAGGTAGAGTTTGGAGCCCATGCAAGAGGTTGCGAAACTGCAAGAAGAGCATGGAAGAAGGAGAAGTGCGGCAAGAACCAAGACTAAGCCCCCCAACCCTAAAACCCTTGATAAGTAATACTGTCTTCAAGGAATAAGTCCTCTACATCCCTGCACACTGATTACTATGTGATTGATACAAAGTTTGTAAATAAACTTATTTCCCCACCCTGCTGCCCTGACAAAACTTCAGATTGGATGATCTTACAGTGAAATCTTGGACTGGGGGAGGTTCTGCCACAATGGGAGAAAAAACAATTACATATATATATATATATAGATATATTTTTTCATCCTTACATCAACAATCTTAAAAGGAAGTACATGGTGATTATTAAGATTAAAAATAAATAAATAAAATAACACAGGAAGGAGACACACTGCATAAAGTTTGTTAGGAATTGTTGACACTTCACATTCAGTATTTGAAACTGTCAACCTCTATAGTGCTATTTTGAAGTTAATTCAAACTCGAAAGGTACATTCAACCACTTGGAAAGTTACAAAATTTATATAATTTGACCGAACTAACAGTCACTAATTTAATGGGAAGGGGGTTCAAATCATCAACGCTTAGCCTGAGGTGACAAAGCTTGTGCAGCTCCAGCAACACCAAATATACCCACATATGCTTTATTTCTGCATTTACTAACTCTAGTACTGCTCAATATAACTTTGGCAAAATCCGGGCAGATTTTATCTACTGCTACAAATCTGAACTTGCAAAACTGTACTTACCAATTTATTTATGTCTGTAACTAGTTGTTATCAGGAAAAGCTCAATCATGTCATTTTACTAGTTAGAAACTAAATTTGAAGTTATTTTGAAAAGAAGACAAGGAAGAAACATAGAGAGAGAGGAACAAAAGTATATGATAAGCCTTTGACCTGCACAATTTGATAAGTTTATAAATTAATTAATTAATGCAATAGAGTATATATATATATATATATTCTTTTGAATCATGTTTGAAATTTGCTCCTGGAGTTGCAAATTTTTTGTTCCCAATGTGGTCTTTTTGTATGTAGAATGATCCAAAAACCTTTGCAAGCATCATGTTTTTCACACAAGGATGATTCCAAATGCATTATCAGGTGCCAAATGAGTACAGCTAATCACCATGTCAAATTGTTATTTCAAGTAGAAATTGAAAGAAACACATGCACCATTTGGAAGACACTTCAGAAACAACAAATCTGAAGAGAAAGTGACATATATTATCATCCCTCCCAAATTGCACTCCAAGTTTCAGAAACAATATTTTCCATTAACCCTAAACCCTTGGGAGTATAGTCAACAGATCACCTATTGCAGAGACATTGGGGGGCACAAGAATGTCTTTTGTGGGTTCACAGTCCATACTTGTTGTGGAACTCTCTTTACCAAACCACACTAAGTTTACTATTTAAAAAGTTGTTGGCTTTAATACAGTTTGCACAACAATTTTGCATGCAAGTTGTGTGCACAATGCACTCTGTATGCAAAAAAATTGTTTCCAAAAAATCCAAACACTTGTCTTGAACTCAACTTCTACCAATACACCATGGACCACATGGGCCAACAATTGACATGCAAAAGTGATACGCACTTAGATTTGTTTATCTGTCTGCAAACAAACTACAAGTTACAGAGGATTATACCACATGTCAGTAGTTATACATGCAGCTTCTGTGGAACTGGAGTGAGGATAATTAACTGTTGCAATTTTTCACTGCAGAAATGACCTCTGATTCCCTCTGTATTTCACCACTTCAACTTACTAGCAGTTATTTATTTCCCAAAAACTACACATTTTTATCTATTGATGTGGGCATTGATGCCTGCTATGTTGTTGGGCACCAACATCTAGCAACACTGGTCCTACATCAAGGTACAATCCTCAAACATTGGCAGTGTTGCAAGGGAGAAACCAATTTTCCCCTCAGGATTCACATGTGATTCTATTCTTTTCCCCAGTCAAAATCTTTACAAAACTGAAGGTTTAGGCTGCGAACGATGTAGAAGCATTATCAATTTTTTTCTCAGCAATCAGGTCAACACTTTCAGTGGCTGTGTTAGCCCCACCTTGTCCAGCTTCATATTGTAAAATATAAATGGAAGACGTCCCCTGACAAGAGATTTTAGGCAAACACATAGACAATAACTTGCCTCGCAGCATGTCCATGAAATGTGTGCACTTCAGAGACGGCAACTGACACTTCAAGGAGAATGAAAAAGTGACATTTATGCCAAGAAAAATAAGATGTGAGATGGTTCTGACTAAGAACTTCATCTTGAAAAAATTAATTTCAAATGCACATGAGACATATGTGCAGAAAAAATCCCTAAACGATAGTCTAATATCTACCAAAAAATGGTGCAGTACATATGAACGAGCTAGTAGAGACAGAGTCAACATTGAGCACTCTAACGTCTAAAATATCAAGGTACATATTTGAGAATGATCGTAAATGCCTGTCGTTGGGTAACTAAAAGAACCTGGGAAGCCAGAGTAAAAGTGGTGGATGCTCCACTTATTCTCAACAATGATTCACTTACGAGTTTATGTCTTGTAACAGGAGTTACTTTCAAAGGAGGTCCACAATCCTCCTTCAAAGTTGCTACCTGTGAGTGGTAAGCCATTCTGCTGAGCAACATGATGGGTTAAAAATGGGTTTGTAGATGCAGTGGAAACAGAGTTTGCCTTAAGCTGAGATACTGGAGTGCCTAGCTCTACACCTCTCCTCCGTTCTTCGTCCATAAAACTTTTAAGCTCTTCAAGGGAACGCATCCCTTCTCTTGATCCTTTCGAAGCTGGGCCATTTCTTACGGCAAATGGGTTGGATTGAGCGAGTACGCTATCAGCTGGTTGATGATCAACTGAACCAAAACTTCTTGATTGTACAAGTGATGGCAATATACTGTTCGAATACGAAGAATACAGCTCCGTTGGATCTAACGTAGTAGTATCGCCTTCGCTGCTCCAGGAGTTCTTTCCAAATCCATCATGTAGCTCTGTTCTTGCCAGCTGTTCACCTATAGCATCTATATCTTCGCTGTTACCAGGCTTGCTATAGGCTTGCGTCGTGCTCTCGGTATCTAATGGTCTCCCACAACTGAAACTTCTACCATTGATCTGAAACTCCTGGGATGAATTTTGAATGAGTTCTCTTGACTGATTGGTACTTGCAACTTTTTCTTTTTTCAACTTTGCAACCAGAACCCACATACTTGCAAGATCATTCTCTAGGGTAAATTCTCGTTGCTTGGCATCTTCCAGTTCTTTGCGAAGTGATGCCTCTTTCTCTGCCATGACAGTCATCAAGGCTGTCTCCTTCTCCTTGGCTGCCTCAAGCTCTCTTCTAAGGATATCCGCAGCTGCGTCAGAATCTACATCATCGATGTGATTTCCATTGCTGTTGAGCTTTCCATTCCTACTGGAACCGTTGCTTCCACCTTTGTTCGCACCACCGTTTGCTCGAGACAGAGAACCTCGACTGGATACGATACTGCCTTCATCGATGTGTGTATCCCCATTGGTCATAACTTTTGATAACCCACCGTTGCTTTGTGGCTTCATTGAAGCCAAAGCAAATGCTGTTTCCTCTGATTTTTTCAGTTCACTCTGGAGTTTTACCAACTCCGCTTGCAGTTTCGCGTTCTGGAAAGTGACTTCCTGAGCCTGGAGCAAATCATTTTGCAACTTTGAATTTTGAAATGAGAATTTTGTGACTTCTTCTGCAAGATTCTTGAGTTCAATAGCGGCTTGTGAAGCAAGCTCTTTTGCATACGCAGATTCCTCTGCTAGCTTCTCATTTCGAATCTGAAGACTGTCTTTCTCCTCAAGAAGACGTAAATTCTCCTGCTGTAACTTATCCTTGCTTATCTTCAACTTCTCCTTCTCTTTCTTTAGGGCCTCATTCTCCTGCTGTAACTTCTCCTTGATAAAATTCACTTTCTCCTTCTCTTTCTTCAGGGCATCATTCTCCTGCTTCAGGTTTTCAATCTCACCAGACTGCCACAGTACAGTTTTAACGAATCTGTGTGTAATTGTAAAATTATTTTAAAGCAGTTTGCTGGGTGCCACCAATCTTGAGCACACGCAAACGCATGTTTTTCGCTAACATCCCGTGTATTCAAAGAACACTGATATACAAGAAGGTTCAAGAAACCAGCACCTTGCGAATAACTGCCAAAAAAATAATATAAATAATAGAAAGATCCAGCATTTATTACAAAAATTGATTCTGTACCTGCATCACGATTTGTGACTGTAGTAGTGCATCCCGGTCGTCTACGTCCTTGGAGGTGGTCTGTGAATTGCGCTCAAATTTTTCACTCTCAGATCCGTTTGTTTCCACATACCGAAGCTCCCCAGACAGACTACCACTGTTCAACCATCCCCCCATGTCATCCGGGTTGTCAAGGAGGGTATCGAGCTGCTTATGTCGACCTACATTGTCTTCCACCATTGAGACTTGGAGCTGCTGTTGCAGTGAATCTATCGTTTCGCGAAGCTCATTAATCTCCCCAGCCTATTAATGCACAGCACATGACGTAGTGAGTTTTCTAATACAACTTCAATTAAATGTGGACCTTCGGAAAGCCAGATCCAGGGATCTAAACAAGACAAAGAATTTCTTCTGAAAGCAAAATCGTCCTGAAAATAGGACTATCACATTATCCGCTCGATTATGAGAATACGATTTTAGTCAAAAAATCCTAACCTAGAAGGCAATTTTCAGTTTAAGAAACCAAGTCTGTAGCCACCAACATGGTCAAATGGATGATAGGTAGGCATAGCATAAAGGCTGCATAACATTACCTGCTACCGAGAAAAAGAACTGCAGCAGAACAAGACATTCGGATACATCCAATGTACATGAAGGAGGCCACAAACAAAGGGGAAGTGAGAAAAATAGCGTCACCAACCTTTGATTCCAACTGCTCTTGCAATATGCGGTTATCAGCAGTTTTTATCTGCGGACAAACATTTAATTTGTGGCAAGTATGTACCTCGCACAAAATTCAAAATTACCAAAATACAGCTTGGCGATCTGCAAAGAGGAAGCGAAGTGAAACAAAGTAAGGATACAACGTACATACCTCAAGGTCGAAGGCTTTCTCATTGAGCTGAGTTGTAAGCATTCCAATTTGCTGTAATTACAAATCAAGGTCGTGTAAATAGGAATCAAATACACACCAAGTATGAGGTCCTAAAAGTAGTTCCTCATTCCAGTGTCAGCACATTGAAACATTAATGTTGTGACAGTGCACGTAAAATTTTTTACTGACCCTGCAAACGCAGAGTTCTTCATGACTCTTGAATTAGTTAAAAGATTTCAACAAGAATGCTATCAAATAAGAATGGCTTTATCATGAAATTTAGCCAATGATTGATGAATGCATTTACATTATACATCATAGCGCCATTAAATTACCTGTGACATCTCGAAGGCATTCGACATAGGTTGTGATGTGACCGCAGACTTGATCCGCTGCTCAAGCATGCGTATCTGCCGCTTCTTTTCATTAATTTCCTCCTTAGCCTTCTCCACTTGAGCCTAAGTAATGGTCAAAATTAAGCTCAAAGTAAGTTCTATGCGTTATAAAGTCCATGTTTGCCAAGTCCTTATATACTCTGACAAGTATGTCACGCGAAAAATATCCTAAACAATCGAAGATGGATAAGGAGTTAGTACGGTGACAAAGATACTAATTTTCTAAAACACGACGCCAGGTCCTGAAGTCATTCGTAATGCAGTTTCAGTACGTCAGCAAAAAGATCGAATGTGCACACAAGTTGCTCGAGCTTACTTGAAGTTGTGTGTCATCTGGGTTATTAGACAACTGCTCCGTTAAACGTTTCAGTGAACTAGTACAAAATGCGACCTCCCCGGCCAGCATCTTAGCTTGCTCCCTCTGCAGGTCCATCTGGTCAGCCATAGTTGTTCCTGTCTGCAGCCGATTGGATTATCACAAGTAAGATAGAGACGATCTTGAGTAAAATACATGTTCAGGTCCAGAAAGACAACATGCAGTTTTGAACACAAATTAAAAGACGAAAGTGAAGCTGAGTTGTTACCATTATTCTTCCCGACTGAGTATTTCTGACAGGGCGAGATTAGGAGGTTTCCGCGGAACCAAACTCAAAACAAACATAACAAAACACGGGGAACGTTTGCTACGCTAGTTAAATTTGTAATTCATAATACTGCTGAATTGTAAACTATAATTGTATGGCATTAAAACCCCCCCATTTTCTTTGACCAAGCTGGATTTCCTCGTAAATCGAACAGGTCATGCAATAAGAACTGCTTGTCGAAGCAAAACCATACGCGGTAATAAGTTAGAGATTACAAATTGATTTCATTGAAATCATCTTTACTTACTGGAGGTGGCCTTCGACCTCGTACAGTAGCACTAAAGAGTTCCCCTGCTTGAGTAGACTCCGCAAAAGTGTCAACGGCTGTCAGTTCATCAACTCTGCGACTGAAGGATTTTCTACGTGTGCCACCTTGAACATCCATTGAAATATCATAACATTCTCCGTTCCCGTTTGGCAGATGGTCTGTGTCGAAAACCCCCGAGGGACTTGAAGTCAAAGAATCGGTTTTCTGAAATACAAGAAGCATTGTGTCAACGATCACCATGATCTATCTTAAAGGTTAGAACTAGTTGGAATATTGATGTATGTGTGTGTGTGTGGGTGGACTTCAACCTCTCTGAGCACCCAAACTAAGGACAAGTATGATCATGGACACGGAAAAAGTAAACAATGTTGATAGATACGTACCCGAAGCTTGAACCAAGCGAGCATGCCACGCTTCTTGATCGCCTTCTTTTCATCCTTACAACTGTCGTCTGTCCCAGTCCCATCCCTGCATTCCTCTCTTGCGTCGGATTCACCACCTTGACCTCCTTCATCATCATCCTCAAGTACTAAATCCCTACGCTTGTCTGGTAAGTATGCCAGCTGTCAACAGTAGTTTTAAGGTCAGGTATGCTACTACGATGAGAACAAGAACTGGCTTAGAAGAGCGATGCACTTCGTGTCGTGCCTATTGTAACGAGTCATTTCCAGCATCTGAGGCAATTGCATAACTGCTAATTGAATCTCATACAAGCAACCTTTAGTAACGCAGTGCTCCTTTTCAACTTCAGAAGGTTGTAGAAGTGCGAATTGTCCTAACAGGTTATTGGAAGCAGCATCCTACAATAAAAGTATAAGAATTTTATCAATCTGTACAGTGTCCCAGAGCAAAGAGCTAATGCTACTGAGTCTAGCATAGTTCTACCTCTTCTTCTCCAAAAGAATGTCTTCGCCAGTGATTAGGTTTCTCAGGAACTGCAGCAGGTGGGATAGTATTTTTGGTAGAGACTAAAATAAGCTTCGTAAGTCGTTGGATTCTTCCCATTAAAGCTGCTTTTGCTTGTTCTTCTTCTTCAAGCCGTGACTGCAATTTTACTTGTCCAGCTTCCAGCTGTCACGCAATTGGTGCAAAAAAGAAAAGAAAAGAAAAAAAAAAAAAAAAAAAAAAAAAACAATTAGACAGTACATGGTTTTGCAATTCCTGGATATCTCTGCTGAGATCTGATTGATAGAATTGCAATGCCAACTATCAAGTACCTGTTTGCGCAGATGGGCCAGGTCTTCACTGTTTTCTTTCGCAGCATATGGCTGCTCCATGATACCCCGCTTAACCTGTTCCAACTCTTCTTTCAAGCTAGTAATTTCCTTCTGATATTTCTTTATTAATGATTTCTCATCAAGAATCTGCAACAACAGAAGTAGCGCTTCACTCCAGTTAAAAGACACTCAAAAGCTAGAATAATTTTACTTCACCTAAACAGTCACTGAATAGATGCCACTGCAGTGGCTCAAAAGCCATTAATTGTACCCGTATAGCACATGCATCAGTAATAGAAAGATTTGCTGACATAATGTCTAAGATTATTCAAATCTTTGCTGACGTGCCGAATGGTACTAATAATAACATGAAGTCGGACCAATCGAGCGAAAAATCCAGTTTGAAAAATACCCTATTGGAAGAGGCATGGATTTCAATCCGTTTAGCTCTGTGTGCAAATTTGAGTGTATTGTGTGTCTCCTCGTTGTTGCTGGTTGCTGGAGTGATTGTACATATCAACTGCGGGAAGAAAGATGCGGGATCATGACATCCCAGCAATGTGAGACTGCGTGTAAAGCAACCTCAATTTTAAGGACTGATGCAATGACAAGGAAAAAAGAGGAAGGCTACTATTCACTTCAACATTCTCAAGTTGATTAATTAATTTGTATTACAAGGCTGCAGAGAAAGGAAATATAAAGATTTCTCACTGATATCCGGCCATGACCACTAAGGGAGGATTGCAAAAGTCTTGTTAATTTCGAGTCCCGATAAGGTATGTGAGATGCCTTTCCATCGCTTAGCTTTGCAATAACCTGCCATCGGTTTACCGAAAGACAATAAGAACCGTCATAAACTGGGTATATCTACAACAAAAGCCCCTGCACCAGGTCAAGCCAATGCAAAAATCAAATGAAATGCTCGAAAAGACTCTGCATGAAAGTCATCAGATAATTGATGTGACGCCCGTTCACCTAACCGGGTTTTAGAAGAATCAACTCTGATTAGATCCTAATGATTGGTAGCTATAAATATGAAGAGCCAGTCTTACAGTGCCAAGAGTTAATAAGCTCTTGTTGATGTATGATCCTTCTTTCCTGCGCAAACCAGTTGTTTCTGTCTTCGAGCTCTCTGATCCTGCAAGATCGATCAGATTCTGCAGATTCAAAAAAAACCTAACGTTAATTGATTATTCGAAAGGTGAGTTCGCTAATCGATGCTGTCCTTCACAAGTAGAACTCAAAAGGTAGTCATTAAAAATTATTACTAGAACGTTTCTTGCCATGAGACCCGTGCTGCAAGATTACATGCTTACAAGTTGGGAGAGTGTGACGTCCTCATCTGTGTAGCCGTCGCCTCGTGGACTGCTTTCTACCGTCTGCTCAGACACCAAAGTGCTACATTGAGTTCAGTTCGAAGTTATATTAAGTACATAATGTTGTCACCCATTCTTGTGATGGACACTTCAAAAGGCGGTTCACAAAAGGGCGCAGAACAAACAAGGCAATTTCAAATAACATTGGGAAATAATAATTCAAAAAACAAAACTTGATTTAAAGATTATTACTGCTATGAAAATTTGAAATATCTGCTCACTACATAAAAAAGAGAAGACTGCACAGAAACAAACCATTGTAAAGATTGTATGACTCCTACTACTGAGAAGATTAAAGTTGTTCGAGCCAACATGCCGATGTTCTGTCCAAGAAACGCTCTATTAGTGGCATCTCAATAGTACAAATAGAATTGTTGCAAATAGTTGGAACTATTGCAATTCAATTTTCGTAAAAAGTAGAGAAACCACAAAGGATAAATGCAAAGATTTAGATGACTACAGTTCACTAGAGAGGGAACGACAACAAAATTAGGCTATGATGTGACAACATAATTATGACGAAGTCTTATTCAATCAAAACCATGAAAAACCATCAAGAATAGAGCAATGTTTCCAACAAATATGTGTTCAATTACCTTCTCCAGCAGCAATGAGGGATAAAGCATGAGCAGGCGACAACACCACTTCCTCTTTTATACCCTCAACGTAAGTGCCTGCCTGTCATCGCAGCATCATTTGAACAAATAGACTAGTTAAATGAGTCATTGACAACCTAATGAAAAGAATTAATAAGAATATTAACAAGAACTGTAATATACTATTTAGATAAATTTGTGACAATTTGTTTTTTTCTTTTTCTTTTTCTTTTATCTTCTTCTTTTGTTCTGTAATAAAGAAAAAAAGAAAGAAATAAACTAAAGAAACTTAGTACCTGGCCATCCTCTCTCACGCGAAGGTTTTGGCCAATAGGATCAAGCAGATCATTGATAACCTGAAGCGCGGAAAACCAAATAAGATTTAGATCATCAGCTGTGTCATGCAAAATCGTAGCAATCTAGTACGTGAGAATCTTTGTATCCAGATATCATGAGGGCAAGTCTAATCAAATTGAAAACACCCGAAAGTCTGGTTGAATCTCCAACATTTCAAAACGTAAAACGCTATGAACATGTTTTACTTCGCACGTGTCAAGCAAGAATTACAGTTAATAACAAAGTTATCCATCTACCTCATTGTAAATCTCAAGGTAGGAGACCCGCAAAAGAAACTCTCGACTTGGGGTCTGGTAAAAAATATTTAAAATTTAAACACACAAACATAGGGGTTAGATATTCATGCGCGCATTTTTTGTGGAGCGTCACCTCAGAGGAATGGGGATCTAACATTGAATACAGAAAATTTAACAAAAGATACAACTTCACCAGCAACCAAGATTTATCACCTCTTGAATAATGCTAAAAACGTCTTTAACAGCCAGAGGTATAATCCCTGGTGACTTTTGATCACCCTGCATCACAAGCAGAAAAAGTGCGTCACAGAACGTAGAGCATGTCCAGCAATACTAAACCGATTTCTTAGAGTATCTAAAAACACAGTTCCATTTTAAGGATATGACAACCTTGACCAGAGTGTGCACACACTTTCGGTTCTTGTTATTACAAACTCAATAGGGTCGGAAGCATATAACAGAAGGACAAGGTCAAATTACGTTCTTAAGCCCACGTCTCCATGATATATGTAAAACAAAGGACACTTTACGAAAGAGAATAGATTAGAAACAAAACTTGAGCACTTTAAACTCAAACTTACGTGCATGGTGTGAGTTTTCCCACTGCTGGTAACACCATAGGCAAACACAGTTCCTGTGACCGAACCAAAATCGCATCTCAGTGCAGTGGACATTAATCTGAAAATTCAAGTCTATGTGCATAAGGATATGGGCGGGACTGCGAATGTAAAAGGAGAAAGAACTGCCTCAGTTCATTTCAGAAGCAAAATCCTCTTAAACGTGTCCTGAACTGAAAACTTAAACTCATCCACATGGTCAATCATGCTGCAAATTTTCCAATATCCTATATCTTAAAACGTTTGTTTAAGCTTTAAATGGATTCGACAGCAGAAGACTTTCCGGAACTTACCATTAACACCCTCCATAGCTCCACTAACAACATGTTGGGCAGCCGCATCGTACACTCCCCTGGTAGTAGTTGCAGGGCCGAATACTCTGTCTGGTTTTTCAGTGCCAAATAAAAATTGAATGCAAGATAAATTTCAACTCTTAAACTAAGACGAACATTATGAAATCAAAAATGTTGCTTGGAAACCCAAGCTGCCAACGACTACTATATCCATGACAGCAGCGCAAACTTTTATTTGCAATTGAGTCACTGACGAGGCTATGGAACCTAAACGAGGTCTGTTTCATAGGCCTTTCGATAAAGATTGCAACTCATCCACCAGCACAGTGGTAAAAAGGTACACAGCAAATACATAGCGTCACAAGAAATTCATCTTAATACTCAAGGACTGTTTCATAATTTTCCAGACCAAGCAAAATCTCTAAATAGTATAGCAACTCGTGACAAGAGCAATGACTAACATCAGGACAGCTATTTATAAATATCCTCCAACTTCGGTTACAATAGGTTATCTTATGCTGAAGTGGGTTGAAAGACCATACCAAAGGCATAGACAGTTGATAAATTAAGCTCACTTCGCACTGTGTCTCCGTCGGCATACCATGCGATTCCATCTCCTCTTTGAATTTCCCGTTGACTGCACGCAAAAAAGAGCCTCAAAATTCACTGCTTGGGCGGTAATTGCAGATTGATTATACAATAGAATATGCTGTCGAGATAAAATAAATAGACGTGTACAATTAAGAGGTGGAGAAGTGTGGAAATTATTTCATGTCAACCAATCTCACGAGGGAAGCCCCTGCGATCATCGTCCGCGCCACTAAAGAAGTGATTTTGTCAGAAACAGCAGACCAGAGAGAGAAAAGTCGGAACAATGCTACTAGTAACTATTCCTCGATCGGTGCGTATTATGCACTATTTGCAAGCAGAGTTGAAAGACCAGGATTGAAAAAAAAACAGAGCATGCGTTCCAGAAAACTGCGAATTACCTGAGGGGACGAAACCGGACGGTTACGGATACATTTTCCTTTGCACGGTTCAGAAAATCCTCTCTAGCAGAAGTTGGAGTCCGAGGGCTACCAGCTGAGGCGGAAGAGGCAGAACTATGTCTGAATTTTTGCGGAGGCGTGACACTGGGGGGTGTAGGAATATTACTGCCCCTTCCTTTAGAGGGTGTCAAAGATCTTCCTATAATTCCAATCGCCTTGTAAGCGGAAGTAGGAGTTTGCGAACCTGATGATGATGGCGATGTCTTGCTCGCATTTACAGACTGCGTTTTTCGAAACCGAAAAGGAGAGCTAGTACGGGGCTTCGAAGGACTAGATGCCATGTTTCCCGCTGCAACGGTGTATGAAAATAGGGCACCGAAAGCTACCACGACTATGTTTCAAGACTTCAGCACAACTTCCTCTCTTTCCGAGAACAAGATCCACGCACACAGACACAGAGAATGGTGACCAAACGCTTCTTCTCACAATCACAATCATACCCTACGACGCATCACCAAAAGTACCGAACTACAGCAGGATGGCCTCGCCCCGCCATGGATTACATTCGTAGACTACTACAAGTCGCCCAATGCAAGTTCCATCCACGTTACGAAGGTAGCTCTGAATCCTCCAGAACCTCGTACATTGACAACGAGAGTACTCATTCGATGCACGCTGCAATTGATCTGCTCGTTGATCGTTATTGGATCATGCTCCTCGAAGTCACACTCTGGATCCACTCGTCGTCCCCGTCCTGTACCATCTTGGCACCAAAATACACGAAAAGATTCGCAAAATAAACAGGATTCCGAAAACACACAACTCAATATGTCGAGTGTCACAATACAGCGTGGAAATGTGAGGCGATGGCCAACACAAGCCGAGGCTACAGCAAGACAAAACAAAACAACACAAGCGACTACGAAAGCTGAAGGACAAAACTGAGAGCAGAATAGGAGAACAGACGGGGGGGGTTACATTCCCGACCTACAGTCGGAACGAATACTCGTCTATAGATGTTAGAGTGAGTCCGGACGGCGTCCACTTGACTTAACCTCGGTGGTGGCCTGATTTTTCCATGCAACCAAAAGCACTGACAATGTTCCCCGAGGCACGTTCTTCTGCGTTCGCGTTTGTTCTACTCGTTCACAGAAAAGGGGTCCGAAATTGGGGAACACGTTCTCTGGGTTCCCGATGCACTCGCTGCTTCTCCGAATTATTCTCCCACGTGGTCTCTTGCACATACTTTAGTGTTTTCTATGGTTGCGGAGGTTTTATAATAAACTGAAAAATAATCCAAATAAATCAAAACTTTCCGAATAAAAGCGAAATAATTTAAAGTTTTAAGGGCAAATATCATATATATACCCGTCAAATATGCTGAAATATCAAGAATATCCATGTATTTCTGTATTCTTAACATATCAGCATATTTGACGGGTATAAATGATATTTTCCCTTAATTTTTCTGTAACATTTAATATTTTTTTCAAGCATTACTGTCACCACTTTCTATGCATGCGGAACATCTGATGCTCTTCTCTTCTTGTTGTTTATTGCTTGCAATTAACTTATCCTTATTTAGATTTTGAAAAATCCAGTTGGTTGATTACGAGCAGAAAAGTAGTTGAGTTGTATTTTTCTGCACCTCGTCAATCACAGCAATGCTGAAATACAGGTCATGTTTGAGGATTAATTAAAGGATGTTGAGCATGTAATCTTTTAATGCTTACTTTGTTTAAAAAAATATGTAGAAAGTTTCTTTAAAAAACTATTATGATACTCCATACACAACATCAGACCATTTTCCTAGTTGAATTTTGTATAATGATGGTTTCTTTTGATATATATATATATATAAAAAAAAATACATATACATATGGATATTCCGCATATGAATTCACAGAATGTTAGCATATATATATATATATATATATATATTCATGTATAACTATTTATTGAATAGATTATTGCCTGATTTACATACAACTTGGTTTTTAGGGAACTAGCAAACAATTTTTAATGTGTACAATATCAACAGACCTATTCAATGAACAAAATTAGTCATTCAGAACACACATTTGAGAAATTTTGCATACAGTCTGTACACACTCTGTCAGTACAATTACTGATTTTTTAAATTGTTTTTAGGGTTTTCAACTGACATACTCACTGTTTGAGAAAATGGGTTAGCTGCCAACACAAGGTACGCCAAATGAATGTGACAATTGACGAGGCACTAAAAACTCAGGCATACAGTACACTACAACTAACCGGGGGGGGGGGGGGGGATAGAGTACCTGTCCCATTATTCATTGCCTGCAGCACGAACCTACTTGGACCACACCAATGTGTGGTGTGAAACGGACTTTACACGATGTCATATTCCATCACGGAATAGTCGAGGTAAGATTCAACGTTACTTAACTTCGCTGCAGGTGCTAGGAAGTTTATGCGCCAGTCCTCGCACACACTGCGGCACTCTGCCGAAGCCTCTCGTTGAGTGAAATTCTACAGTTTCGCTGCAGCGTGAGATTCACTTTGGAACTGCGCCGGGAATTAGGGGCAAAGGCATCGGTGCTAGTTGACTGCAGCATGGCTGCGAGAGCTCACGGCAGCTGATTTGTGACCAATTAAACCGATCTGTTATCCAGATTGCGGCGAAGGGTATGTGTGGATTTTCCCACCCACAAAGCGTCACCGACAGACTACCGTGTTTCGAAAGAAGCGAAAAAGGCATCGTTGGGTACGTCTCGGTTTTGACGCCTGCCGTTTTTTTTATCTGCACCAGTCCCGCTGCCTACGCGATCTGATCTTAGAGGCTTGTAGGGAGCAAAATGGGCTCGGATGGATCTTGACTCCACCAGGGGGTGGTTCCGTGATCATAGTTTTTGTAAGAATAAGAGGTCTTCTACCGCGATTAGAGCGTCAATGGATTCTATCTCATGGGTTTACGTGTTGCTTCTGGGATGGCAGATCTGTGCATTGTGAGCGTGGCACGGTCGTCATTAGGTGGGTTGAATGGTTTGCTGCGCAACTTGTTGGCAACCATGTTGCGGTCTGTTGAGATTTAAGTTATAATTTTAGTACCTGCATGCTTGCGGCAAGCATCCACTCAATGCCTATTGCGTTGTGTAACCCATTATTTGGTTTGTCAAATATTTCCCAGGGAGTGAGATCTTGGGATGACATGTTGTAAAATTGTTTTTAGACTCAATTTGATGTTTGTGATGCAGTGGCGGTGAAGAGAGCTGAAGTGGGTTCATGTTTTGTGGATGAGGTCCATTTTAGCAGGACCTTGGACTTGCCCGGCGCAGTAGGCAGCCATTGGGGCAGGTCTTCCCACCACTATTTTGTGCACTGCTGTCAACAAAGTCTGTGCTTCAAAAATGGAAGGTAGGTTGCTAAAGTGTTATACTTTGCATTTCATTAGTCCATCATTGTTTCCTACATTATTAAGCTTGCGGTAGTTGTTGCTAGTATAATTGGCAAGATTTAGTTAGTTTGGCAACACCCGCCACCGGGTTGCAGATGCTCGATCGGCTTATGCCAATCCTTCTTCCACCTTATTCACTCACTCACTCTCCATGGCAATTTCTTTTATTCTTTGTCACCAGGAATGGTGATTGGGCAGTGCTCGTTTTGTTTGAACAACAAATCTCCTGGCTGTTCTAAGCATTGAGCTGGGACTTGATGTTGTAGGTGCTGGTGGAATGGAGAGTATGTCAAATACTTACTGCCTTCTAAAGCAAGGTCAGTTTGCTTGCTGAAGATTAACGCAAATTTTCTGTACATTTACTGTAATTGATTTTACGTGATGTTTTGGTGCCTGCACAAGTTCATTTTATGTGAAGTGCATGTAGATTGGTAGTGTCATCCTATTCCTTTCCACTAAGGATTGAGATGGAGGTGTATTTTTCCTCGTTTCGGCACGACTTGTTCAATTTTTCTGGGCTGCTACTGAGATCTTTTACTTGGAAAAGACTTGAACTCATCCATTCCATCGAAAGAATGGAACTGCTGCCGCACTTTGAACATGCTCATGTCACGAATTCTAACATCGTGTATTTGTGCTGGACTTGAAATCCACAGGTGGCCATCGAGAGGTTGTGGCTAGCATGTAGAATGACGTCTGTAGGATGTGTGAATAACGGTTATGCTTTGGGCATGGCTGGTTAACTTTGCGCAGAAAGCCACTATGTTTCTGTAGAAACTCAGGTGTATTTGATTTATCAACACATATAATTTGTACTTATGTTAGAGTCTCTTAGATAGGGTTGTGGAAGTATGATGGTCTTGCTGTGCGAAACATAATATTAATAATAATAATAATGATAAACATCAGCTTTGCAATGGTACTGAATTGCAATCGAAGTTGGTGACTCTCTTTGGGATAACTATGCTATTGGTAGATATAAGATGGGAATTGCAGCAAACAACAGCAGTGCCTTCAACTGGATGATTGGGCCAGTAACGCATCCTCCGAAATTTTGGAGCTGGGCACTAGTTTTGGTTTGTACGAAGTTTACATGTTTCTTACGTGCAGTGGTAGAGCTGCTACTGTTGTCTTAATTAGCGGTGTAAATGCAATGGGTCTGTAACCTCAGGTTGTTGCAGATATTCGTGGATATGCTGATGCTGCGCCGGTTGTGAAACTGAACATTACATCTACCCTTTTCTGATACTAAGTCATGATTGTTCTGCATTCTCTACGAAGTCACTTCTTGTGCATGTGTTTTGGTTTGAAAATATTGGGTGAGGTTTTTGATAAAAGATTTGGTTGGTTTTAGTCCAGCTTTGGAAACATGCTATTGGCGGTTGTATTCCTCATGAGCATCGTGTGTCATGGAAGTTTGCATTTGGAAATTTGATCATATGCTGTCTTCAGAACTTTTTGCATTGTCACCTGCAATTGCCCGCTCGCCAAGCCATTTGTTAGACAGAAATCGACCATCTAATTTCTAGAATCAATTGTTTCGTTAAAGGGCATGGTCATCTTCAGATTCTGAGCAACGCGTTGAGTGATTGCCTGTACTTAAAAAGTAACAGCCTTCTTAAGGAGTGTTGTGCGCCCTAAGTAAACATGTTGGAGAGCTCTATTTCACTTTGTATTTGCATGATTGGGATCTATGATTGACAATGCGAACCGACTCGTGGTTTTCTCGATTCGCAGGTATGCATCGAAGGCTACATTTTGACAATCTCCGCTGTGAAGTGAACTATTCGTCTATCAATTCCGCACTTCAAGTAAAAATCTGGTAGAGCGTGAAGTGATAGTACACAAAAACTTTGTGGAAAACCTCTAGATTCTGATACACGTTAAAAGCATGGTTCGGTGACCGGACTGTCAAGAAACTTGCACACAGGGATCATGAAGTTATGCTTACAGTTGCAGTCATTTCTCTGTGAGGAAGTGAATACTACGTCAATGATATACCAAGATTTTCTTTGTTCAATGTCAAAAAACAAAATTTTACGACTGTGTGTGCGAAGTGCTCAGTTTCAATGAAAACATGTCAATTCATTGAGCTTGGTTCATGGGCTCATGGGTGTCAAATCATTCGGCACGATTGCTATCACTCCTAGTACACTACTCACGATTTTCCGATCAAACATGATGTTTGATTCTTTGATGATTCTTCAATCAGTGGTTGAATCTGTAGTCATGCAGATCTGCACACTACCAGAAAAAAAAAAAAAAAAAAAAAAAAAAAAAAATCAGGTATTGCGGACGCTTTGCACATTTGCTTGGCAAAGATTGTATACTAAGCGAAGTGGTGGTCTGTTTCGGATCCCGTTAACTAAGCATAATCTAGGTTTTACTAGCGCACGGTCGTCGGAACCGAGCTGGCGATGACGGATTCTAACAGACACACTCATAATATCTCTGTTTAGTTTCCAATTAACGGTACGACTGCTACAATTGATACCCTCTTTATACGGAATTCGATTGATACCGAAGCTGGTGCCCGGCACCCCCAATCATGCACTTTGTCTTGTTCGCCCCTGTTTCTTGCCTCTGCTGTTGCGTTCTCTGCTGGTGTGCTGTTCCGTGATCTTGTTGCTTGCGATCTGAATGGTTGAGGATGTAGTTGTACATTTTTACAGGTGGGGATGAGATCTTAGGGCTCGCAGCTGACTTCTGTACGTCATTTCGAGATTGTGGGTGCCTAATTTGGTGCAGCATTGCGGTAAATCTAGTGGAATCTGGATTGATTTTGAAGGGAGTTCTGGAGTGGGAGGTAGAGTGGGAGGTTTTGTTGAATTGGTGAGTTTTTGAATGCTTGTGACTTGATTTAGGATTTGTTTATGAGGTATTAGCTTTTTTGAGATTTTTGGTGTTCAGTGTGAGAGAGCGATTCTTTGTGATGTGCTGGTGAAAGCCTATCGTCTAGGGTTTTGAGGAATTCCTGGGGGAATGGTAGAGTAGAGGAGGTTAGATTTCTGCAAAGGTTGGTTTTATGCAATTTTGGTTGTGGTGGGTTTGGTGGTAGGGTCGTGTTTGATTTAGGGAGAAAAAGGTACATTATTCGTGTGTGATCTAGGCAGGAGTGAAAGGAAGGATAGAAGGAACGAAGGTCTGGTCTGGTTTGGTTGCGATGGATTTTTTTTTTCAGAAGGCGAGGTATTTCGCACAAGAAACAGCAAAGAAATCGCAAGAGATTGCCATGGAGGCAGCTAAATTGTCGCAGGATTTGGCGCAAGAGACGGCCAAGAGATCGCGTGAATTGTCTCATGATCTTGTGGTTGAGGCATCAAAGAAAGCCGACCAGATCAAGACATTGGCGACTGAACTTTCACCAACCATCGTGGGGCGCGCCATTCCTAGCGGTGTTTCCACACCAACTGCTGCGCCGACGGAAGAGGAGCTTAAAGACTATGGCATCACCCCTGAGCTCCGGGAGTTCGTCAAGGGTCTCACCATTCGGACGTTCCGTGATTTTCCCCTGGAAGAATCCAGCTGTAAGCTCTTCAATTACTGATGTCGAGTTTAATTGATTCTTTTAGCATGTGTATTGATACTCACATTTAATTCTAACCAAAGCTGCAAATCAAGTGGTGATATTCGTAATATAAGATAAGAATGGCAGATATGATATGCTTGATTTATTTATTTATTTATTTCCCCTTTGAATGCATCAGCTATTCCACGGGATTAGTCTGAGTCGAATGCGTAGACAAATCTTTACAACTACCAGCAACTACATTTTCGGTCTGCTATGCAACTATTCTGATCAATCTTTGTTCACGAGAGTTTGTATCTCTGAATGTCAGCAATAGTGGCCAAAAACACCAACTAGGGAGGCCTATTGTTATTTGAAGAAGATTTGCTTAGTATAACGTTGTTTTCCTAGTAGTCTTGCTCATACTGCAGTAGTTCTAATGGCTGTGCAGGGAAAATGACAGCTACTGAGAGCACTTCCCAAGTACGTCAAGACTTATCCGAGTGGCAAGAACGGCATGCTGTGCTTGTGCTCTTGACTGTTCCGGTAATTCAATGAGTCCTTTGTGCTCAGGATACGCAAAATCTTTTGTGTGTTGTGCCTTGAATGCGAGATAACGAGACATGTATCGATTGTTGAGGGATGCTGTTTGATTTGTGTTACTACGTTGAATTGGTTGAAACTTGAATTTTAACGAGTACGTTATGTTTTCCTTCGTAGTCGTAAACGATAAGTTTAGTATAATGGTGTGAAAGGCAGACAAAATGCATGGAGGTATCGTATTGCTTGACGATAAGTTTTATGTCATTGCATATCCAATCTTGAAACCTCGGGATGATATATATATATATATATATATATATATATAAGTCCTTTGGAACAGTTAAATTCTAAAAGCTATGTATGTTGAATCAATATTGCGTAGACATGCAGAATCATTATACTGGAATGTCTAATAAGCAGTAGATGTTCTGGAAGTTGTCAATCATCGAGTGAATGAAAAGATTCAGATATCAGGTGGAGACTGTCAAAATCCATCTTGAATGCGTACATAATTTGTCTTTCATATGTTTGGCTTTATTTCTTTGGGCGGGTTTACATTGCAGGAAATATCCGATTTCCGTTATGTTCTGTGTCCTCGGCGGATGAGAGAGAGCAAATTCTGGAAGATTTACTTCATCTTGGTTCAAAATTATGTTGCGCCGTATGTACTTTTCTGATCATCTCAGTTGATTTTTATTAAGCATCCTATTAGTCTTAGCATACTCTAATGTTGCAGAAATCTTAAAATGGATGTTCTGAAGTTCTCAGAAACAGTTGAGCAATCATGCACCGACTGTATACGTGTTTGGGAAGGGATGATTATTTCGGTCTTTGAACTTCAAACTGTGTCTACACAACAGCAGGAGCTTTGAATCTTTGTTGTTAACAAACACGGCTTTTGTTCCTGTAGATTTGAGGCCATGGCAGCGGAGCGGGCAGCTGCAAAAGCAGAGGCGAAATCAGAAAGTGATGCACTTAAGAAAACTGCTGCCCCTGAAGAGGCTTCCGGGTCTTCGTCGCGTGTCTCTGTTCGGGCTAATCCGCCAGGTGCTGAGGCCGAAACAACTGCTGCTGCGAATTCTCTGAAATCTGTTGATGATGATGCAGATCTTGATGCGTATCTAATGGGAGCCCTCGGTAGTGACGACGAGGCAGGAGGTAATGTAAGACCTAATGCAGGAGTAGTTTTCCACATTGATGACTTGTTGGTTCTCTTGGTTTAGGATTCATCTTATGTTGCCCTAATCCTCTATAAACTTGGACTTGCCTTGCAAGCAAGTTCAGTGTTGATGTATCAACCAGCATTGAGTTTCGTGTTTTTGTGACAAGTAAGAAATCTTAATTGGTGTTAGTGTTTCCTGCAGAGGGTGTAGATGATGACTTTGACAAAGACTTCGACAAACTCGTAAACAGCGCTGTAAGTGCCTCGGACTGGAGTTCCGAACTTTCATTAACATTGCCTCCGTCGTCGTCGTCGTCGTCGTCTCGTCAGGGAGTACTTGAAATACGTTTTGAAGTTGGAGATTAGATCCAGGAGTATGAACTGTTTGGGATTCATTGAAACTTTTTTGTGTATGATTCCTGCCGATTGTTTTGATGGTTTCTCACAGGCTTTGGACAGTGATGGAGAGGAGGCTGCTCGTGAAGGCGCTAGAGGTAGCAAGCCGAAGAATAGTGACCCTACATCAGGTTTAAGTAAATCAGCTGCCAGTGAAGGCTCTTCGGATGGTGAATTGGTGGAGATCCCAGATCAAGAGTCTGATGCAGTGCACAAGAAAAAAATTGACGCTGCGGAGTGATAGAACCGAGGGATGCTATTTAGTGCTAAAACGTCTGCTAGGTTTGTTTGATACATGTTTCAGATCTAAGATTCTGCAATTACTCATGATATGAATCCATTGGTTAAGATCAGCTATTGATCGCTAGCAAATTTCCTAGACACTGTAGCATTAGTTATTATCATTTGATTAGATGTCTTCTTGGATTATACCAGTGTGTATCTACTTTTTTCAGAAGTACCAATATACACATGAGGACACTTTTAGGGTGTGACTACTTTGGATAACCTTCGGAGCAGCTTATTTACTGATAATTATCATGCTTCTGTGAGTACCTTCGCTGGTCTTGTTCATTGATGTAGTTGAAGAGTTTTTTCCTATTGAAGTATCGACTCATCCTGGAGTTGGTAGCTTTTCCAAGAGAATGTTCCAATCCCTTGTGGGCGCATCTCTGAAAGTTCCTCTGCTGGTATATAACGCTGGTTCCGTTACTCTCTAGTACACTTTTTTTTTCTTTTTTTTTCTTTTTTTCTTTTCTTTTTGTCTGTTCAGAGTGGCAGTTTTGCAATTATCACTTTCTCATTTTCAGACGCCCCTTCGCATGTTCTTACCCGTCTTGACCTTGTCAACTCTGGATTGTTACATTGGAGGCCTTCAAATCAGACTACACGTTACTCTTGTGAATGTACCTGTCCAGAAGATTCGACATCTTTCCTTCCTCCGTTAACTTTACAAACAGCTTTGCAACGATACAGCACAATACCACACTCAACACGAAAAATTCAACAGCATCAGCGGGTTCAACACTGAGCTAATTCACCATTGACACATTTCAATCTGTGCTGTTTGGTTGAAGCGTGGTCGATGCTGGCAGCATCTGGCACCTGAGCATTGTGTCTCTGTCATACAACGTTGGCAAATGTGTTAGTATATTGAATTAAGATTATGGAATACAAGGCCCCGCTGACAAAATTTCCCTCCTGACTAAATTTCCTCATTCTGTAATTTACGCGACTGATGTTGCAGCAGAATAGTGTCGTTTATTCACGAAGGCAACCACGGAATGATAACACCGAGTATGCTCGTTCGGTCGCAAGTCATTCTGTTACTTCTCACTCTAACCTTGTGCGAAGGAACAAAAGTTTCTAAGTTTGCTGTGGAATTAGGGTTCACATGAGTATTCGACCACGCAGAGATAACGAGCGAGCAAAACCCTAATATCTTTGTCTTAGTTAATTCACCATCAATCCTTCACGGCACTCTAATCGTCTCAAACGACTTGTTGGATATATATATAGTATGTTAGTATATATATATGTATATATATATATACATTTTGTTCAATATAGTATGTTAGTATTATATTGATTGTGTCCTTTGACAGAATTATGTAGTTTTCCATTCTTTGATTGTGACTCTTTTGAAAAAGTATCGCCTTCATTATATATAAGGATACATGTTAATTATATAATAATAATAATAATAATAATAACAAATTTACTATTTTTACATGGTAGCAAAGAAAATTTGAGATCTTTTATAAAATTGAACCTCACAATAGAGAGAATACTCTTCCATTTGGTCTCTTTGTAATTCTTTCTTTAAAGTTTAAAAATACTAAAATTAGTTTTTAAAAGTTTTAAAGTTAATGTGTCAAACACATGGAATTGAAAACATAAATGAAAATTTTAAATTGAAAGAGAAAATCTTATGTTTATTAAACATTTATAATATTGAGTTTTTTTTTTTTTTTTTTTTTTTTGAAGAAACAATCAAACAATGCTTTGAACAAAAGCAAGAATATTTAAAATAACAATTAAAGATTCTATAGAATATTTTAAAATGTATTCTTTATTAAAATTAATTTTTTTAAAAAAAAAAACCCCATAAAATAGATATTAGTCATATTTTTAAGTTTGATGGTTCATATTTTAACATATGAATATGAATTGTTGCTAAAAGAAAAACCAAAAAAACAAATATGATTACACAACCTCAAAACATATATAATTACATAAGATGACTCAAGTTTTATATTGTATGTAAATTCCAAAGCAATATCACACATGAGTCATTAATTAGAAATATTTGTTGATTATACAAAGCATGACAATGAATAATTTGTGTTATTGGGAGACAACAAGACATCATATTAAATTACATTATATAAAGATGTTAAAATAAAACTATCTAATATTATAGAGAAAGTCATACCTTAAATCTTACACATCTCTTAGCTTACAAAAAAATAAAAATAAAAATAAAAATTTGTAATATAGCTACAAATTTCAATAAAGTTAAATTATGTCATCTTAAACTTAGTCACATGATAAATAAAGATTAAAATAATTTTAATTAATAGAATATGTATTTTGATATTTAAAGAACAATTTTGTGCACCCTTTATATTGAAGGGAATCAATACATATACAAGTTTTCTAAAGAAAGATCACAAAGACCTTAAGAACTCTTGGATTTAATATACTTGGGCATTTGTAAACTATTGAAAGTTGGAAACTATTCCAATTTTTTCTACTTTATAAAATTTATGGATGACTTATCTAGATATTGTTATGTATTTCTAATATGTTACAAATGAGAAATATTTGATAAGATTGTGTATTATAAAAAAATTATAAAAAATTAAACTAATCACAAAATTAAACTATTAAGGACATGTTGTAGAAAAGAATATATGTCAAAACAATTTTGCAACTTTTGTGTCAAAGAAGAAATGAAAAAAGAATTTTCTACTTCACACATACAACTCAACAAAATAGAAATTCTAAGCCCAAAAATTAGACTTTAATGGAAGCAATCTTAGCCAACTTATTACATACTAAATTATTAAAAAGCTTTTAGGAAGAGACACTCCTAACAATAAACTATCTTAAGAATCTAAATTCTACTAAAGTAATTTTATTAAACATAAATTTTTTTAAAATATATATTTATAAACAACCAAATTTATTCTTTTTTAGAATTTTTAGAAGTGCAATCTATATATATATATATATATATATATATATAAAAAGCGAGACAAAAACATGATATCTATTCTATTGCATCTATTTTCTGAAGCTATAATGAGTAATGTAAAGTATACTATCTTATGAATTCTTCTCATCAAAAGATTATTATACTTCAAAAAAAATTGTCCTTATTATAAATGACTACCTTAAGCTAATTCAGCATATGCATCATTATTAGCTCTTACCTCTCCACAAAAATACTTCAGAAAGAATTGATGCATACAATAGCAAGTTGATATAAAATAAATTTTCAATTCTTTACCTACAAGTAAAACCTAAAATTAATTCTATTATCTCCAAATAAAAATTCAATTAGTTTTAAATGGGTTTTAAAAATCAAAATCCATGTTGATTAAACTATAGATAAATACAAGGTCTAATAAGTAGCTAGGTGCTTTATTTAGGTATACAATATAGATTATATAAAAATCTTCTTTCTTATAGTCAAATTTAATTCTATAAAATTATTATTATAATTAGCTATATAACATAATTTAGAAGTTTATCAACTAAAGCGTGACTCACGATAAACTATGTAACAATAAGACTTACCTATGAAGTGACCAAGTAAAAAAATATATATATATATATATATATATATATATATATTTATTTATTTATTTACCTCAAAGTAAAGATTTAGCATTCTATTCATGACAAGGCAAGGCAACTATTCAAACCAATGAGGTAATATCAGAACTTGCTTCATTTGTGGCAAGGTATAACATTTTGCTTAAAATTGCTATAAAAGCAAAAAGATGGAAAGGAAGAATGCAAATAATATTCAAGATGAGTTTAGAAAACTAGGTTATGCATTCAAAGTAGGAAATGGCACCTCCATTGATGTTATGTCAAGATGGATTGTAGACTAAGTTTGTTTCAAGCATATGACACCTTATAAGTGTATATTTGACACTTATGAAGTTATTCCAACATCAAATATAATTTTGGAGGATAGTAGTAGATGTGAAGCCATTGAAATTGATTCTATTATGGTGGAGGTTGTTGTGAATGGACAAATTAGTAGGATTGGATTCAAAACGTCTTATATGTACCTAAGATGAAGCAAAACCTACTTTTGGTGAATAAACTTGTAATAGAAGGTTTTATGATTCAATTCAATATAAATGGATGTTTTGTGAGAACATTGTGTAGAAATATAGTTGCAAAGGGCTCTAAAAAGAGAAATTTGTACTACTTCAAGTGTAAGAAGGTCAACAGAGTGGAGATAGCTGCATTTGCTGAGTTTACATCAAATAAAGAGAAGTTGAATATATGGCATTGTTACCTTGGTTATTTGAATGTAAAGAGCATCGCAAAACTTAGTTCTATAGTAAGTGGCTTAGAGCTTAACAAAATGAGTCAAAGTGCAATACAACTTGCATATAAAAGAGGCATGTAAGGCAAACAACAAAGGGCCTCATTTCCAAAAGGTGTAGCAACACATGCTATAAAATTATAGGAGATCATCCATTATGATGTATGTGGACCTATGAAAAACCACAAGTATTAGAAAAACAAGGTATTTCCTTACTTTCATTTATAATTTCTCAAGAAAGATTTTGATCTATATTCTTAAAGTCAAGAGTGAATGCTTTTAGAAGTTTAAAGAATTTAAAGCACTTCTTTAGAAAAAAAGTGAATATAAGATCGAGATACTGCATACAAACAATGGATGTGAGTATATGTCTAAGTAATTTGATATTTATTTGAAGAATAAAGAATTTTCTAGAAAAACAAAAATTCTATACATTCTACAAGAAAATAGTATTGCTCAAGGATAAATCTAACTATTGTGGAGATGGCAAAGACCATGCTTTACACTCAAAATCTTGCTTATGAATTTTAGGTGAAAGCTATAGTGAATGCAATATATATAAGGAATAGGTATCTAATAAGTATTCTTACATCAATGACACCACAAGAAAGTTGGAATGAGAGACAACCTTATATTTCACATATAAGGACCTTTAGATGCATTGCATATGCAAAGACACTAGATTATATGAGATCCAAATATAATACAAAAGATACATGTGTTTTCTTTGAATATTGTGAAGATATCAAGGCATATAGGCCAATGTATTTAGACATCAAAAAGATCATCAAAAGTCATGATGTTGAATTTTTGAAGCATAAAAATACTTGTGAATATTTGAAGATATATCTAAGTAGGAGTAATGGTATGTTTGTATGATATTATAAAGTTTCAAGATGCAATCTAGTGGAAGAAGGCTATGGAAAAAAGTATCAAAATTTTATGGATAATAGTACATAAAAATTGATACTTCTTTTAGCAAATTGATCTAATGTTGATTATAAGTGAATATTCATGACTAAATGAAATGCAATG